TAGAGTTAGATGATGGTGGGGGGAGATGTGAACGAGAGTCCAGCTAGACATAACAACATTAAACCTAGCGTGAGAATCAAGGTTATTGTAACCAGAACTGATAAAGAATTGGCAGACTGGAGAGCTGGAAGGGAAGCCCACATTTCAAGCTAATTGGGGGATGTGATTTACTACTGTTAATTGGAGGAGGGAATTGTGCTTTGATACTAGGTGCCCAGGGGAGGGGAATCCAGTTTTTGGCTTTGATTATGTAAGTGCCGATATTATGCTACTCAAATACAAGATCCTTTAAGACAGTGGTTCTCAACCTTTTTAATGCCGCGACCCCCAACTGGTTGTAAGTCGAGGACTACTCAACTGGTGCAGCACCGTTTGCAGAATGGGGCTTTTGGCGGGCTCAGCAGGGCAGAGACAGCCTGGACAATTCCTATTGGCTTTTAAAAGCCAATAGAATAAAAGGGAGTAGCACAGCTAAGGAAAAGGGGGGAAAAAATGGCAGACTGCGTTGTTTGGCGACCCCCGTGAAATGGTCGTTCGACCCCAAATGGGGTCCCAACCCACAGGTGGAGAACCGCTGCTTTAAGGTAAACAATGCCTTGAAGTTCTTTTGAAGACTTTCATCTGTCGGAACCGTGACACAAACATCTCACTTAACGACAGAAAATGTGGGCTCCGTTGGGGCCAGGGCTGCCTGTCTTCTGCCTCCAAACTCGTTTTTTGAAAAGTAGGATTCCTTTTCCGAATCATACACGCTAGAATTGTGGATCAGAAACGTGCGCGCTTCTCCATCGACCCACGTTGAATATTGCTGGTCTGTTGAAGAGGATAAACACAAGGTTTATCCTCGGCCCCCATCATAAACCCGCCAATTTCCCCAAGCAAGATTGGTTTTTCTTTCCCCGTCTTCAAATGCCATTTCCTTAAATTTCTCCGTGGGCGAGAGGCGAAAGCATCTGCTGACTTTAGCAGATGTGTGTCCTCATCTGAGATAACAAAGAAGGGGGGAGGGAATTAAAGGATTTTGCTTTTTTTTTTCTCAATACTGTGTTATTTTCAACCGAGTAGGTTGTTATTTGAATAAAAAGAAAAAAGAAATAGAAGAACCGAGACCGGGGATCGCTAAACGAAGGAAGGGGAAAAGATTCCGCTTTTGCAGAGTTTCTTTGTTCCTGTAAGAGCCATGATTTATAAATAATAATAATAACAATAATATGGGAAAAGGGGGCTTGGGGACAGAATGGGAAATGAGTCTGTGGAATGCCAGAGAGTTTAGAATGAAATGAGCAGCCAGCGACCCCAAACAAAATTCTCTTAGAAAAAGCTTGTATTTTAACCTCTTTTCTTCCATTCTTCTGCACCTCAAACACAACCCTTCAACCATTAGAGCAGACTGGACTAGACTAGACTAGAATAAGAAATAGAGAAATAGAAATAGGGAAATAGGAATAGAGGAATGGAATGGAATGGAATGGAATGGAACGGAACAGAACAGAACAGAACAGAACAGAATAGAATAGAATAGAATAGAATAGAATAGAATAGAATAGACGTTCAGACTGGATTTGGCATTTTGTCTACCTATCGAGTCCTTATCCAGGACCTGGGATAGGCAGATGTGGATGTTTGATGGTATTACAGATATCGTCGCAGGATGGAAGCAGTTCCTAGTAAGGCCGCCTTTTGCAATTGACTAATAGCGAATTTGTCAATGCCAATGGTGTTCAAGTGGTGCTCCAGTTTTTTGGGGATTGCACCCAAGGAGCCTATGACTATTGGTACTGCCCTTGCTTGCCTTTGCCACAGACTTTCTATTTCTATTTGTAGGTCTTTGTATTTTGTTATCTTCTCCAGTTCTTTCTCATTTATTCTGCTGTATTATTATTATTATTATCGATCATCGCACAGTCAGCCAGATGTTCAGACTGGATTTATTATTATTATTATTATTATTATTATTATTATTATTATTATTATTATTATTATCATTACATTTCCACATTTCTAATATTAACAACTTAGAAAAGCATGTTTAATTGAGCAGGTCCGTATTTTCCAAATATTCTCTCAGCAATCCAGGATTGCAGAAAGTCTACAATGAGCATATTATAGTATATTCTAGTTTGGCTTAGGGTTTTGTGTCAATCTAATGGGTGCCATTTGTAATGTGGTATCCCACGCAAACCCAACTAGGTTTATTCAGCTACCTATAGTTAAGCCAACCACAGCTTAATGCAGCGCAAGAATTGCAGGTCCATCTATTGTTAAGCGTTGAAAAATCAGCAAAAACTCCCTTTTTTTTTGCAAAATAAGGATCAAAGAAAAGGCAACTGTATAAGTTCAAATGCAAAATAGAATTTTGCAAAATAGAAATGGGGTTAAACACTACTAATAATGGAAGGAATTATAAAGCGAAGACAGGATGGAAAAAATGGGGAAAAGTCTGCCTTTTTTTTTTTTTTTGGTGGCGGCGGTGGTGAAACTGAAAGAAATTGTTATTCACTGGCAGAACAATGACTGTCCCAAATATGCCGAAAGTAATCTGCTTTAGGCTGGCATAACATCCTTTCCAAAACAAAAATGAAAATCCTGATTAAACGCCAACGTCTACACCCAGACACATTCTTCAGAGGGGGGGGGTGGAATTGCCAGTTGTGTAATTGTAATCCCATTATAAAATACAGCTCTCAAAAAATTTTCCCTGTAACATTCTGCTTGGAAAGAGATTTAACCAATTCATTGCCTGATGTAATCTTGACCACACACACACACAGACAGACAGAGATAAAAACACAACACACAACTCCGCCCAAGATCTCTGATTCATATGTCAATCAATATGCAAGTAGTTCTTGACTTACAACAACCAAGCTCAGAGAGTACCAAGGACTCCACAATCCTTCTCCTCCTCCTCCTCCTCCAATCTGCACACCCCCCTCCCTTCTAGCACTGATGATGTTCCCTAGTTGGGTCATGAAACGTCTGCAAGAAAACCACCAGGTTCAGAGAGCACTGAGGACCCCACAGTCCTCTTCCTCCTCCTCCTCCTCCTCCTCCTCCTCCTCCTCCTCCTCCTCCTCCTCATCCTATCTGCACACCCCCCTCCCTTCTAGCACTGAAGATGCTCCCTAGTTGGGTCATGAAACATCTGCAAAAAAGCCACCAAGTTCAGAGAGCACTGAGGACCCCACAGTCCTCTTCCTCCTCCGTAAACCCCACTCCCTTCTCGCACTGATGACGTTCCCTAGTTGGGTCATGAAATGTCTCTGAATAAAAAACAACCCAGCTCAAAAAGCACCACGGACACCCCAAAGGCCGCATTGCAATGAAAAGATGAGTAGCTATTATTTTCCTGCCATGGTTTTTCCCCCTCCGCCAAGTTCCTGCACCTCCTTTCTATCAAATCAAAGCTGAGATAGAAGCCATTTAATGCACCTCCAAGTTCCGGCGTCCCCTCTTTATTATTGTTCACACTTCCGGGCTTCTCTCCTCTTCGAAAGGGGAAGCGATTGATCAGAAATGGGAGCCAACTCTGGACGACGTTGCTCTTTCTCCGGAGGCACCAAATCTTTCGAAGGCGTAAGCCAACATTTAGCCACTGAAGTGGGAATGTTAATCCAGAGCCGAGCCGAGCCGGGAGTCTAAGGGGCTGCGTGCAGTTCAACCGTTCAGTTTTGCCTCCGCTAATTTCCTACGATTATTCCTGGCTATTATTCCTACGCCCTACACCCTGGGCTGTAAATGCCTCAATTCCCCTCGGAGTAGTGGGAGGAACTGAAGTCACGCCACAAATGTCCAGACAAACAAAAGATAAGCCTCAAGGAACCAGGAATTCCTTCTCTCCCAGACTATTGCAAACTGGGGGAAAAACAAAACAAAACAAAACACAAAGACTAATCCTTCTGTGTCAACCACACCTCAGGATTTCAACACTTGAGCGAAAGTGGTTCCTTCTGCCACACAGCTGGATTTTCAGTTCAGACCTCTGGAGGTTGACCTGTGTCCTCAGGGTCACCTGAGCAGTGCAAATGAGTGTGGAGCCTTCTTCGCTGCAGCATGTTTTCTGCCCTGGGTCCCTCCTTGCAAACAGCTGGTCATTTGCCTCCTTTTAGAGAGTGGTTGAGGCCACTTGGAGGTTGACCTGTGTCCTCAGGGTCACCTGAGCGGTGCAAATGGGTGTGGAGCCTTCTTAGCTGTCGGGTGTTTTCTGCCCTGGGTCCCTTCACTGTGGAAGACGGGCGCAGGTGGTTGGGGATGAGGACACAGACAAACCTCCCAGTGGCCTCAACGACTCTCTGAAAGGATACAAATGACCAGCTGTCTGCAAGGAGTATAAATCCTTCCATTCCCCACCGCTCGGTCAGAGCTGAAGAAGCTTCTGGGATGATTAGCAAAACGTCTTCAAAGACAAGCAAATAAGTCCAGTTGAAAAAGCACCACTGAGGACACAGGTAGACCTCCAAGTGGCCTCAACAACTCTCTTAGAGAATGCAAATGACCAGCTGTCTGCAAGGAGTATAAATCCTTCTGTTCACCACTGCTCGGTCAGAGCTGAAGAAGTTCCTGGGATGAGAAGCAAAATGTCTTCAAAGACAAGCAAGTAAGTCCAGTTGAAAAAGCACCACTGAGGACACAGGTGGACCTCCAAGTGGCCTCAACGTCTCCCTAAAAGGAGGCAAATGACCAGCTGTCTGCAAGGAGTATAAATCCTTCTGTTCCCCACCACTCGGTCAGAGCTGAAGAAGCTTCTGGGATGAGAAGCGAAATGTCTTCAAAGAAAAACAAGAAATTCCAGTTGCCTCCTGAAACAAGCACTTTGGGGACAACCCTGACCTGGATGATTGGGAATCTCCGTAGACAAAACTAATCGAAATTTTTCTCAACAGGGCTGCCCAGATTTAACAGGTGTGTTCGTGTTACCTTTTTTAAAGAACGGATTTCTGGAAAAAGAACAACACGGGAGTAAAACGACAACGGAAGCATCTCACTTACAGAGTACTCACCAGACCTGCGACGGGCGTGGGCGATCTGTTGATCTTTTTGACCAATCCGGGGAAGATGGAATTCAACAACCTGTCACAAGAAAGGAGCGTGGCAACGTTATCACCGGTCCCAGACTTGGATCAGACATGGCTTCCTCTGAGCACGCCACACCTCTCCCCCCAAGCCTCAAAGCTGTTGACTTGGGACAAAAAGTTTACAAAAGCTGGCAGACACCATCGGGCGAGTCGAGATGACTATCTGCAACCCTCTTGAGAACTTGGGACTTGCAACGTGTCCTGAACTGGAAGGCACGATGAATAAAAGGCACGGGTCCAACTTGGGAAGCAGCGCCCACCTCTGGCCAAGCAAGAGAACTGCATTGGGGCAGTGTCGCTCCACAATTAAGTTTAATTATACAAATAAGCCAATAAATATCATGTAGGGCTCTTTGTTGGGACGTTAGCAATTGTCGTATGAAGAACGGTGGCAGGGATTGAGCATGTCTTGTCCAATGAAATGAAGTCTAATGAAAAGAAGGACTAGGGGGTGACATAAAAGCAGGAGGCTGTGAGTTCTAGTGCCGACTTAGCCATGAAAGTCAGCTAGGAGACTTTGAGCCAATCACTAAGAAAGGGTGAGTTCTAATCCTGATTTAGGCATGAAGGCCTGTTGGGTGACTTTGGGCCAATCACCAGGAAGCTATGAGTTCTAGTCCCGCCTTTGGCATGAAAGCCAGCTGGGGGACTTTGGGCCAAGCACTAGGAGGCTGTGAGTTCTAGTCCTGCCTTTGGCATGAAAGCCAGCTAGGTGGCTTTGGGCCAAGCACCAGCAGACTATGAGTTGGTAAAATGAGGACCCAGATTGATGGGGGGGGGAAAGAGGCTGACTCTGTAAACCACTTAGAGAGGGCTGTAAAGCACAGTAAAGCGGTATATAAGTCTAAGTCAGTGGTTCTCAACCTGTGGGTCGGGACCCCATTTGGGGTCGAACTCATAGAGGAAAATGGACACCGCCAACAAATTCGGGGTTCTTACCTAGAAAGGTAAGCGCCCTCGTAACCATACCCAAGCACTTTGAGTTTGTAGCCGGTGTCCATTTTGCTCTATGAGTTCATGGTGACCTATCCCTAACCCTGTATGGAATTTTCCTCCAATGGGATTTTCCCATGTATTTTTCCAGGAAACATAGATAGGGCTGCCTAGAAAAGTAAGTGCCCTCCTAACCATACTCAAGCACCCTGAGTTTGTTGGCGGTTTCCATTTTGCTCTAAGAATTCATGGGGACCTAACCCTAACCTTCTATGGAATTTTCCTCCAATGGGATTTTCCCATGTATTTTATAAGGAAACATAGATAGGGCAGCCTAGAAAGGTAAGCGCCCTCCTTACCCTACCCTAGCACTCCGAGTTTGTTGGCGGTGTCCATTTTGCTCTATGAGTTCATGGTGACCTAACCCTAACCCTATATGGAATTTCCTCCAATGGGATTTTCCCATGTATTTTACCAGGAAACATAGATAGGGCTGCCTAGAAAAGTAAGTGCCCTCCTAACCATACTCAAGCACCCCGAGTTTGTTGGCGGTGTCCTTTTTGCTCTATGAGTTCATACTGACCTAACCCTAACCCTTTATGGAATATTCCTCCAATGGGATTTTCCCATGTATTTTACAAGGAAACATAGATAGGGCAGCCTAGAAAGGTAAGCGCCCTCCTTACCATACCCTAGCACTCCGCGTTTTTTGGCGGTGTCCATTTTGCTCTATGAGTTCATGGTGACCTAACCCTAACCCTATATGGAATTTTCCTCCAATGGGATTTTCCCATGTATTTTACCAGGAAACATAGTTGGGGCTGCCTAGAAAGGTAAGTGCCCTCCTAACCATACCCAAGCACCCCGAGTTTGTTGGCGGTGTCCATTTTGCTCTATGAGTTCATAGTGACCTAACCCTAACCCTAAGTGGAATTTTCCTCCAATGGGATTTTCCCATGTATTTTACCAGGAAACATAGATAGGGCTGCCTAGAAAAGTAAGTGCCCTCCTAATCATACCCAAGCACTCCGAGTTTGTTGGCGGTGTCCATTTTGCTCTATGAGTTCATGGTGACCTAACCCTATATGGAATTTTCCTCCAATGGGATTTTCCCTTGTATTTTACAAGGAAACATAGATAGGGCAGCCTAGAAAGGTAAGCGCCCTCATAACCATATCCAAGCACTCTGAGTTTGTTGGCGGTGTCCATTTTGCTCTATGAGTTCATGGTGACCTAACCCTAACCCTATATGGAATTTTCCTCCAATGGGATTTTCCCATGTATTTTACCAGGAAACATAGATAGGGCAGCCTAGAAAGGTAAGCGCCCTCATAACCATATCCAAGCACTCCGAGTTTGTTGGCGGTGTCCATTTTGCTCTATGAGTTCATACTGACCTAACCCTAAACCTATATGGAATTTTCCTCCAATGGGATTTTCCCATGTATTATACAAGGAAACATAGATAGGGCAGCCTAGAAAGTATGCGCCCTCGTAACCATACCCAAGCACTCCGAGTTTTTTGGCGGTGTCCATTTTGCTCTATGAGTTCATGGTGACCTAACCTTAACCCTAAGTAGAATATTCCTCCAATGGGATTTTCCCATGTATTTTACAAGGAAACATAGATAGGGCTGCCTAGAAAAGTAAGCGCCCTCCTAACCATACCCAAGCACTCCGAGTTTGTTGGCGGTGTCCATTTTGCTCTATGAGTTCATGGTGACCTAACCCTAACCCTATATGGAATTTTCCTCCAATGGGATTTTCCCATGTATTTTACCAGGAAACATAGATAGGGCTGCCCAGAAAAATAAGTGCCCTCCTAACCATACTCAAGCATCCCGAGTTTTTTGGCGGTGTCCATTTTGCTCTATGAGTTCATACTGACCTAACCCTAACCCTATATGGAATTTTCCTTCAATGGGATTTTCCCATGTATTATACAAGGAAACATAGATAGGGCAGCCTAGAAAGGTACGCGCCCTCGTAACCATACCCAAGCATTCCGAGTTTGTTGGCGGTGTCCATTTTGCTCTATGAGTTCATGGTGACCTAACCTTAACCCTAAGTAGAATATTCCTCCTATGGGATTTTCCCATGTATTTTACCAGGAAACATAGTTGGGGCTGCCTAGAAAAGTAAGTGCCCTCCTAACCATACCAAAGCACTCCGAGTTTTTGGGCGGTGTCCATTTTGCTCTATGAGTTCATGGTGACCTAACCTTAACCCTAAGTAGAATATTCCTCCAATGGGATTTTCCCATGTATTTTACAAGGAAACATAGATAGGGCAGCCTAGAAAGGTAAGCGCCCTCATAACCATATCCAAGCACTCTGAGTTTGTTGGCGGTGTCCATTTTGCTCTATGAGTTCATGGTGACCTAACCCTAACCCTATATGGAATTTTCCTCCAATGGGATTTTCCCATGTATTTTACCAGGAAACATAGATAGGGCAGCCTAGAAAGGTAAGCGCCCTCATAACCATATCCAAGCACTCCGAGTTTGTTGGCGGTGTCCATTTTGCTCTATGAGTTCATACTGACCTAACCCTAAACCTATATGGAATTTTCCTCCAATGGGATTTTCCCATGTATTATACAAGGAAACATAGATAGGGCAGCCTAGAAAGGTATGCGCCCTCGTAACCATACCCAAGCACTCCGAGTTTTTTGGCGGTGTCCATTTTGCTCTATGAGTTCATGGTGACCTAACCTTAACCCTAAGTAGAATATTCCTCCAATGGGATTTTCCCATGTATTTTACAAGGAAACATAGATAGGGCTGCCTAGAAAAGTAAGCGCCCTCCTAACCATACCCAAGCACTCCGAGTTTGTTGGCGGTGTCCATTTTGCTCTATGAGTTCATGGTGACCTAACCCTAACCCTATATGGAATTTTCCTCCAATGGGATTTTCCCATGTATTTTACCAGGAAACATAGATAGGGCTGCCCAGAAAAATAAGTGCCCTCCTAACCATACTCAAGCATCCCGAGTTTTTTGGCGGTGTCCATTTTGCTCTATGAGTTCATACTGACCTAACCCTAACCCTATATGGAATTTTCCTTCAATGGGATTTTCCCATGTATAATACAAGGAAACATAGATAGGGCAGCCTAGAAAGGTACGCGCCCTCGTAACCATACCCAAGCATTCCGAGTTTGTTGGCGGTGTCCATTTTGCTCTATGAGTTCATGGTGACCTAACCTTAACCCTAAGTAGAATATTCCTCCTATGGGATTTTCCCATGTATTTTACCAGGAAACATAGTTGGGGCTGCCTAGAAAAGTAAGTGCCCTCCTAACCATACCAAAGCACTCCGAGTTTTTGGGCGGTGTCCATTTTGCTCTATGAGTTCATGGTGACCTAACCTTAACCCTAAGTAGAATATTCCTCCAATGGGATTTTCCCATGTATTTTACAAGGAAACATAGATAGGGAAACCTAGAAAGGTAAGCGCCCTCGTAACCATACCCAAGCAATCCGAGTTCGTAGGCGATGTCCATTTTGCTCTATGAGTTCATGGTGACCTAACCCTATATGGAATTTTCCTCCAATGGGATTTTCCCATGTATTTTACAAGGAAACTTAGATAGGGCAGCCTAGAAAGGTAAGTGCCCTTGTAATCATACCCAAACACTCCGAGTTTGTTGGCGGTGTCCATTTTGCTCTATGAGTTCATACTGACCTAACCCTAACCCTATATGGAATCTTCCTCCAATGGGATTTTCCCATGTATTTTACCAGGAAACATAGATTGGGCTGCCTAGAAAAGTCAGTGCCCTCCTAACCATACCCAAGCACTCCAAGTTTTTTGGCGGTGTACATTTTGCTCTATGAGTTCATAGTGACCTAACCCTAACCCTGTATGGAATTTTCCTCCAATGGGATTTTCCCATGTATTTTACCGGGAAACATAGATAGGGCTGCCTAGATAAGTAAGTGCCCTCCTAACCATACCCATGAACCCCGAATTTGTTGGCGGTGTCCGTTTTGCTCTATGAGTTCATACTGACCTAACCCTAACCCTATATGAAATTCTCCTCCAATGGGATTTTCCCATG